ATGACCAACTACTGTGCACGATTCATCGAGGGATATGCCACAATTACTGAACCTCTGCAAGCCCTTACCCACAAGAACCATGCCTGGGAGTGGATGGACAAGCAGGAACATGCCCTGGCCCAGCTCCGGCATGTGTTGGCCAATGCACCTGTCACAGCGTACTTCAACCCTGAGAAAACAACTGAAATCTCTGTTGATGCAAGCCCGGTTGGGCTGGGCGCCATCTTAGCGCAAATCGATCCCACAACCAAAGTCAAGCGTATCATTGCGTATGCCAGCCGGTCTCTGACCACCACCGAGCAACGCTACAGCCAGACTGAGCGCGAAGCCCTCGCTGTAGTATGGGCATGTGAACACTTTCATCTCTACATTTACGGCAAGCCAGTCAATGTCTACACAGACCACAAGCCCCTCGTTGCTATCTATGGCAACACGAACTCGAAACCACCTGCTCGTATCGAAAAATGGGCACTCAGACTTCAACCATACCAGACCACCGTGCATTACCGAAAAGGAGAAGAAAATCCTGCAGACTATATGTCTAGGCACCCTTCCAGCCACACCGAACCCTGCAGCAGACAGGAAAAAGTTGCTGAAGAGTACATAAATTACATTGCCACAACTTCAACACCAACTGCACTCACCCTCAGCATGATTGCAGAGGCCACAGGACGTGACCCAACCCTCCGTGCCGTCATAGACGCCGTTCAATCAGGCAAGTGGCATGAACTAGCCAAGCATCCAAAGGTCGACACTGACACATACGAACGCCTCAAAGATGAGTTAACCGTTGGAACAACAACCCAAGTAGTCATTCGCGGAACGAAATTAGTGATTCCAAACAAGCTACAACGTCGCGTCGTAGACTTGGCTCACGAAGGTCACCAAGGCATTACCAAAACCAAATCCCTACTACGAGAGAAGGTGTGGTTCCCCGGAATCAACAAAATGGTCGAAGAACGAGTAAAATCCTGTCTCGCATGCCAAGTTGCAACCCCGGAGGCAGCACGTGAGCCGTTACAAATGTCTACTTTGCCCGATCAAGCGTGGGACGAGATAAGCGTTGACTTTGCTGAACTCTCAACAGGGGACTACCTCTTGGTGGTATCTGACGACTACTCACGCTATCCAATTGTTGAAGTTATTCGTTCAGTGGCAGCCCAAGCTGTAATTCCTAAACTCCAACACATCTTTTCACAATTTGGCATTCCAGGAATTCTGAAATCCGATAACGGTCCGCCGTTCAACTCCGAAGCCTTTGCAACTTTCGCCGCTAACCTGGGATTTACCCACAGAAAGATCACTCCCTATTGGCCAAGAGCCAATGGCGAAGTAGAGCGGTTCATGAGGACGGTAAAGAAGATCGTGAAGATTGCACTTACACAGCAGAAACCATGGCGGGAAGAACTAACCAACTTCCTTCGGAACTTCAGAGCTACACCACACAGCTCAACTGGAAAGGCCCCAGCAACAGCCTTCTTCAATCGCCAACTCCGAACGAAGCTACCCGATGTACGCACCAATGCACGGGACCCGGCCGAGATCCAAGAGACGGACCAGAAAGCCAAAAGAAAGATGAAGAAATATGCTGACTCGAAAGCATACGTCAAGCCATCGAGAGTACGACCTGGCGATACCGTGGTCCTAAAGCGTGATCCCTCACATCGAAAGTCCGAAACCCCGTATGAACCAAAGCCATACAAAGTAATCAGCTGCAAAGGCTCGATGGTAACCGCCACGCGAGGAGAAAAGACAGTGACCAGAAACTCGTCGTTCTTCAAGCTCGTCAGACAACAAAATGAACCAACGGAAGGCGACTCAACCGATGGAGAACATGATAACCTCGAAGATACGGACGGTGAACCGGACAACATTGCACAGGCTGAAGAACAGCAACAAGAACCTCACCGTTATCCTCAACGCGTTCGAGCGCCACCAAGACATCTAGCAGACTATGCATATCGCTGAATAAGGAACTTATTGTCGGACTAATAAGCTCCCAGTACTTGTCACCGTGTCTGACAGACTGTATTAAGACATGCATGCATGTACTTTACGAATCACATTGAGTGAACCTTATATGACAAACACTTAGTTGACATTTGACTTTAAATTTGGGTTCTTTTACTAGTTATGTTTAGTGTGACTTTAGCACGTCTCTAAATCCCAGTAAGGGAGGGATGTAATATCCTATGTTATCACGTGGGGGGACACGTGACAGGTGGACGGATAAACGAGGAAACATGGAGACTCGAGAACAAAACTAGCTTGTATATTTGATGTTCAAAGAGAATATTATACTGGCCACCAAAGTTGACGAAGTACGGGAAGTATTGTCCGACGCCGCGGAAAATTCCAATTTATTAGTATAGTTGAGACTTGGTTACATAATCACGTACATGACAATGTAGTCAATCTTCAGGGATATAATCTCATCCGCAAAGACAGAACCAGTGGTCAACACGGGGGCGTTTGCATGTATATTGAAGAAGCAATAGATTTCGAGAGGTTAGACGAAGTCAGTAACGATTTGTTCGAGGTCGTATGGATCAACTGTATGCACATGTCTAGATTACCGAAATTGAAACTGTTTACCACCCTCCTTTTGCAGACGCTCCAGCAATGCTAGATAACTTATCGAGCTGCCTCTCAGGGTTGGAATCTCGTTTTTCTAATTGTGGATTTATTATCTTGGGTGACTTCAATAGAATAAATATCTCACGCTTAAAGTATAACTATCATTTACGACAACTTATCAACTTTGCTACGCGAGGTAAGAATACTCTAGATCTCGTTTTGACAACTCTACATAAGTTTTATGGCCAACCAGTAAAGTGTGCACCCTTCGGCCTCTCTGACCATGTGTCTGTAGAGCTAAAACCGAAAGATCGAAGCCAGCTCCAAAAGGTACACAAGTTAGTGGTGTGGAAAAGAAATACTTAGAACTGTTGGGTATTCCTACAATTTATGTTTGTTAATTTAAAGTTGTTTCTTGCGAAGGCAAATCCTCCCTTTTGGAAACCATTATAACAACTGGGTTGAATTTTATTATGCCATTGCGTCCTACTACAGTTCGGTGTAACGAATCCCCTTGGATGAACCCAGAATTATCTACGCTAATTACGAAACGTCAAAAAGCTCTTAATCAGGGAAACACTCACAAATTTAAATACCTGAGAAACAGAGTCAACCGCGAAAGGAAAATCTGTCGCGCAAAGTATTATGAAAACAGTGTTCAACATCTCAAACAAGGTAGGATCGTCCTTCTGGTGCAAATTCTGCTGGCGGAAATAGTGAAGAAATCCTCAAAGCCTTAAGACCCAGTGAACATCACTCTAAAGCAGAAAAGATTGCAGCAGCGAACGAGATAAACGATGCTTTTCTTTCCCCAATGGCAGAGTTCGTACCTCCAGAACTTAGTATCAAATTCCCAAAACGAACCCACTATTACAATTACTGCAGGGGACGTGTTAGAAAACCTCTCAAAACTCAACCCAAGGAAAGCCCACGGCCCTGATGGAATACCAACATGGGTATTAAAAGAAAACGCAGACATCTTAGAGCTTCCAGTTAAAGATATTCTAAATTGTTCTTACCGTGAATATCGCGTCCCGAAGTCTTGGGAGGAGACAGATATTGTTGCTATCCCCAAGAAGAAACCCATAACTGATATCAACAACCACTTACGTCCGATATCTTTGACTCCCTTTGTAATATTGTAATTTCATCGGGCAAGTTCGACAAGCTCGTCGGGCAAAAACTATGTAATTGAGCAAAAAATTGTCCATAATTTATCGAAAAGCAATTGTTGTAGAGGAAAATTTTGATAAATTTACGAAAATATTACTGAAAAATTCGTGTTTTTGGGCCAATTACCGAAACTTGGTATGGAAAAATTTGGAAAAGTAAGGAAAGCAATTAAACGTATTCGTCCGGAAAATTTTTTTCCCTAAAAATTGTCGACGGTGGGGAGAAGGTCCGGAAAATTTTTTTTTTTAAAATAATTTTGTTTGCGACTGTCCGTCGGCCGCTCCCTATTGGTCGGGCAAAACAAGCTCACACACTCCCCCCCCCCAGCCGTAATACCGAAGTTTCGGCCTTGGATCCACATTTTTGTCAATAATTTTTTTGCGTAGCATGTATAATTTTTTATTATTATTAAATAATAATAATAATAATTATAATTAATAATAATAATAATAATAATAATAATAATAATAATAATAATAATAATAATAATAATAATAATAATAATAATATTATTAATAATAATAATAATTATAATTTTTTTATTATTTTTTATTATTTTTTTTTTTTTCATTTATTATTTTTTTTTTTTTTTTTTTGTATAATTTTTTTTTCTTTGGGTAATGATTTACTCCACAATTTAATCGTGTGCAAATGCTAAACTATTCGACAGTTTTCTTAACTTTTGTTTCGGTATTTGACAATTTTTCAAGAAATGTTCGCACGCCACCCGGGTTTAACGGTAATTTTTAATTTAAATTCTGTTTCTTTTTAGATTTTAAATGTTAGATCATTAATGTTCATTAATGTCTAAACTACCCGTCTAGTGTATTTTTTTGTTTGTGTTAGTTACCTTAAATTAAATAATATATATATAGCGATGAGTTTGTTTACAATTTTTGTACACGTGCATGCGCAGACGTTTTTGCCCGGTGTTACACGCTCAGGTAACACGGCGGAAAAACGTCTGCGCATGCGTCAACCTTACCTGTAATAGTATTGCTAACTTGATGAGAAGCTGTTCCGAACGTTTCCGAAGGCTCAAAATGGCAGTAAAAAGGAGTGACTTCATTGTGCGTCTTTACAGCCAGATTTCGAGCGTAAAAATAAACACGTCATGTCTAAAAACTAGGAATAAATACAGCCAGAAGGTTCAAGAAGTTGTATTGTACAAGAACATGAACTAAAGGTGATTGTTGACAAATTTATCGTCTGAAATATTTTGTTTATCAACTAAGCAACGACAATTTCCGAATTTTCGTTTGAGATACATTTCTTTAAAAAAAACTGTGTCGCCAAATATAAAAAATTTTCGTGTTCACAATAATTAAACTTTAGGATTTATTCTACAATTTTTGAGTGGGTTAAGAAGCTTTACTTCTCGAGAGTTTTCTTAACTGTTGAGTTTGAATTTTTGTTTTGAATAATTTTGCAAAACTTTTTGAAGTCGTGTCCGTTAAAATCAACAATTTTTTACATGAATTCTATTTCATTCCATACTTTAAATGCCAGGACGCTTTCAATTAATGCCTAGTCTACTCATTTACTATATTTTCTCGTTTGTTTTACTAATTTTTGACCAATTAATAAGCATGTTTTTGTTTTAGAAATTGATATTCAAATTCCCCGCCATATTTTCATAATTTGGTGCATGCGCAGACGTTTTTCCGCGGTGTTCGCTCACGTATACTCCAAGCTTCCGTTTCTCGCGCACGCGTAGAGAAAAGCCTTCTCTCTTTAAATCTTTACATTGGCATAAAGGGAAAGAATACATATAATGTTATATATATATGCTATTGCGTATTTTCATGCAAACCTACTACTAGAAAATACATCCATGCAGAAACCCTCGCCTTGCCGACAAAACCATTGTATAATTTTCCGAACATGAAGTATTCAACCCATGGAGCCGCAATGTGCCCTACTTATTTTTTTAGTGCGCCAGTACGCCCTACTTATTTCTTTACTTGTCTCACGCCAGACGATTTCACTCGTCAATGGGAAGCTACGCGGCTTAACGGGTTAAAGTAGTTGTCATGGGAACACGACAATTTCATTAAGAATATTTTACAATTGAAAACTCCCCTAAAAATATCACTTTTAATTACAAAAATATCAATTTGCCAAACATATATATGTTAGGTATGTTGTTATACGTAATATAAGGTTCAACTTAATGTAAAATTCAACCATGCACAAACGCTTCGCAAAACGGTTTAAAATGTTCTTTATAAAACTAAAGTGCCTTTATCGATAAACTTTGAGTTTCAAATAAAATGACTTCAAGTCATCGCATGCAAGTAACTTTGCTTTCTATTTTATTTAAAAACTTTAATATAATAAAAAAGGGCGATCAATAACGATATACTGAAATTACATGCTCTCTTTTTTCATTTAAAATATATACGCAACGATAAGCTTTTTAAAGCAATTAGCTAATATAAAGCAAACAACACATCAATATTTAAAACTTACTTTCGCCCATTTTCTGAAAAAGCTTTTGAAACTTACAAAATCTTGCAAAAATGAAATATATTTGCAAGAAATCATCAAATCGAGAAATGTTTGTTGTTTCCATGTCGTCATCCAGTCGTTATAATGCACATTTTAAATTGGACCAATCAGTGAACGCTATTCATGACAGCCGCTATATTTTGAGATCAGCGAGGATGACCACCCACGCCCGCGATTATTGATGAACTTTAAACTTCGCTAATGCTTTCCTTTCCCCGGGGGTATATAGCCGGGCGGTGTTAGTACCCTCGCACGGCGCTCCGCGCCGTTGGCTCAGGGAATAATATACTGATAGATTATATGTAATCAATATGGCAAAGAATAACGTCTCAAATTTTAAAACCAAGAAATACTTAATTAATATTATTTTCTTGTCGTTTCTTTAACAGAAGAGCAACAATTTGGCAGATTAAATCCAGTAATTCTGCTATGGTCAAGAAGCTGGCACCAAGAAAAAGACCCAATGTTCCACCAGATTCCGCTAAAAGAAAAGAAAAAATACTAAAGAATACATTTCTGACTCTGTGTCTCTATAAAGTGACGGAATTATATAATAATTAAATTGAGAAAAACTGAGATTGAATTAAGGTGGCTCCCTACAGTTTTTGAAATATGACAAAATTGTGATTTAGATTTAATTTTTTGAAGAGAGGTTTCTTGTTAGAAGGCAAAAATTGTACCACATATATTGAGCAATCTTCTAAGAGTTGAAAATTAACACTGACGTTTCAATGTGGCCGATATTTTACCTATTAACACATTTTACTCGAAAAAAGGCCGGTTACCACCATTTTTTATTTCTTGAAACGTTTTCAATTAGAAAAATGAATGATGTGAACAAGTTTAAAAAAATTCTGTAGATCCAAAAAATATTTATCACGAAAAATCACGTTTTTCAATTTTTAAAAAATTCTGATCTCCAGAATTTTTTTAAACTTGTTCACATCATTCATTTTCCTAAATGAAAACGTTTCACGAAATAAAAAATGGGGATGACCGGCCTTTTTTTCGAATAAAATGTGTTAAAAGGTAAAATGTCGGCCATATTGAAACGTCATTGTTACCATAGCAACAGTAATGACGTCATTTTTGCGAACAATTTTCAACTCTTAAAAGATTGTTCAATACATGTGGTGCAATTTTTGTCTTCTAACAAGAAACCTCTCTCCAAAAAATTAAGTCTAAATCACGATTTGTCATATTTCAAAAACTGAATTGAGCCACCTTAAGGCTATGAGAAACCATTGTATGATATATTGATTATTGATGGCATGTTGACATTAATGAACTAAATTATACAGTCCGCAGAACGGCAAAATGAATGTTTCCATTCACTTTTTATTAGTATGGATTAAAATTCCCATATTAATAAGTTATATTACCGACTTGAAAGTGGGAAATTCCCTGTCCCGCTTAGTCGAGATCATGTAAACAAACGCTAATTCTTCTGGCCCACATTTTCAAGGGTAGGGTGGATTGATATTCCGAGTAAAACAACACCGTTGTTCAAATTATCCTAATTGGTTTTAATTCTAAGCGCCTCTTTCCGTAAACCATGCGCTAGCATTGCAATACACGATGTATTAATTCATTTAATTCATTAAAACTATAATGCCAAGATATACATATATTTATATAATTGTTTATACTTACTTACCCATGAAACTTTCCCATGAATAGGCTGGAACATTTTCTGTAAGAATATAACTGAGTTCGTTGAAATATATGGAGATTTGAAGAATATTATTGCTCAAAAAAGAGCGAATATTATACTAAAAATTAATTCGCACAAGTGACATACGAGAATACTCTTAAGTATTTAAAACTATACACGAGTGACAGACAATCCCAGGTTTTAACCAAGGTAACTTTATACAACTCCAGGTGTGTGACGAAAAAGCGAAAGAGTTGGTCTAGGCGCTAGCCGAGACCTATACCATAGCGCTTGAGTTTAGTTGAGCATATAGTCTCTCAACTTCCTAAGTGCCCAATATAACTCGAATAATTAGCATGTCAAAATAATCAATAAAACGAATAATGAATAATTATGCAAATATCAAAACGTTCCTGAATCCTGAGTAGCTTGCCATCGAGGGCTTCAAATGCAAATAATCGAAATTTTATCAATATTGCGATGATTTAAGACTTTCCCTTTACTGGTGGAAAAGAAAGCAGCTATTTTGAGGCATTTATTTCGAATTTAACTCTACATTTCTGCGCATGCATATGCATATTTATACAGTTGTTACGAATCTATAGTCATTGTGTTTTGGTTTGTCTTTTTTATATTTTTTCTTGCTTGAATTGAACATGCTGTCAGCATTTGTTTTGAAGAAGTTAGAATAATTAAAGATTCTTGCAATCTGAGGTTCACTTTACTGTCTCCAGGTTCCATTTGACGAGTTTGCAAGGTTCCAGATCACGAGTTTAGCCAAGTGTGTTTTTCTTACGGCAAATATAATAGGTGAAAAATCTTTTTGACTTCGCTGGTGGTCTATAGCCATGCAGTCTAAAGGCTTTAAACCTGACTTTTTACACATAAATTATGTTAAAATAAAGTGGGTGTCAGTCAAAAGTAAATGTCGGAGTATTTTTTCTTCAACAAAATATATATTTTATTGATTAAAATTACGAAAAGGTTTGTAAAAGTTATCGGGAATTAATGTTTGCTGAGAAGAGGCAAAAAATTCCCTCGCTTTTTTACAGTGCTCAATGGAGTTATTGAGCACGCGCCTCAGCCAATCACGCGCCTCAGCACTTTAGATACAAAACTACATTTTGTCACTATATATTATTATTTGCGCGACGACTGTTCATATTTCATTTGCCGTATGAACCTGTATGGGCCTAAATGAGGTCGAATTTAGAAAGTTTACATGTCTATTGTCTATTCCGTGTCTGCAGTCGTCTGCTACTCGTCTGTAATATGTTATTAGATCGCAAAGCCACAAGTTCGATTCCTGCCAGGGACCTATAGTCGCAGCTGCATGTGCCTTGTTAGGTCTATAATAAATGTATATAAACATCCACCTTGTGGTTAGAGATTGACATGCAATTAATGCAACTGGTCTCTGTATCTCAGTTGGTTTATAGCACGCTGCAGCGGAATCGCAGGGCCGCTGGTTTGATCCCTGCCAGAGACCTACAAATTGCATTTTTCGCAGCGGTTCTTGTTTATATATATATATATATATATATATATATATATATATATATATATATATATATATATATATATATATATATATATATATATATATATACTCCATTGTACATCAACAGACACTCAAACCATCCACCAAGCATTACAAGACAATTACCTACAGCTATCAACAAACGCATTGCACTTCTCTCATCAGACGAACAAACATTTAAGGAATCCACACCTATTTACCAGAACGCTCTTACACATAGTAACTTTGATCATGAATTTACGTACACTCAGAATGCACCGCAACGGACACGTAGGAATAGGCAACGCAACACAATTTGGTTCAACCCACAATTTAGTAAGAGTGTTAACACGAACATAGGACGGGAATTCTTAAGTTTAATTGACAAACACTTCCCGCTACAGCACAAACTACACAAGATTTTTAACAGAAACACTTTAAAAGTAAGCTACAGTTGCATGAACAACGTTAAGTCTATAATCACCAAACACAACGCACATATAATTAGGAACAGTCAATCACAGAATACGGAAACTGACAACTGTAACTGCGACAACAAAAACGCTTGCCCACTACCGAAACAATGAATGACCAACAACATTATTTACAAAGCAACAGTCACAACGAACAACACGAACGACACTAAACACTACATTGGTATGACAGCGACTACATTTAAGGAACGTTACGCTAACCACACTTCATCTTTTCGTCATAAAAAAGACTCAAACAAAACGGAACTTTCGAAACATATTTGGAAATTAAAAGAAAACAATCAGGATTATACCATCAAATGGTCAATTTTAAAACACGCTATTTCGTACACAGGGGGATCAAAACGCTGCAATTTATGTTTGGAAGAAAAATTTTGCATTTTGAAAGACATAAACAAAGACAATTTACTCAATAAAAGAAGCGAAATTTTCGGCATACAGTATGTCGTCACAAAAACCGGTTTTGAGTAAACAAGGTCGTTAACAAAACCTAATGACCCAAGCATGCATTGTTTCACCTAAGCATTGTTTCGCCTACACGCATTCCGCACATTCTTTCGATAGCATAAAAGCAACCTACAATTTCGAAATTATTCATCACCTGATGATTCCTACACGGATGAAACAGACTATTGTGGTTTTTGAGGTAAAACGAAAAACTATATATTACGCTCTATCTATATGGTATTGAGCACTGTTTGTGTTTCGTAAACCAAAATCTTAAGCAATATATATATATATATATATATATATATATATATATATATATATATATATATATATATATATATATATATATATATATATATATATATATGTATATATATAACAAAGTTTTGTTATTGCAGTAGATTAAAGAGTGCTCAATACAAAAATTTGTAGAGCAATATTTATTTAATCTTATACCATTTATAAGATTAAATATATATATATATATATATATATATATATATATATATATATATATATATATATATATATATATATATATATATATATATATATATATATATGTACTATTTAAAGCACGCGTAGGAGTGTTTTATCACATATAAAACACGACGCGTAGCGGAGTGTTTTATATGTGATAAAACACGACTACAAGTGCTTTAAATGGCTTAAAAAACGACTCGTCTTATACGAGTTCATTGGCGAAGTAATTTTTAAAATAAACTTTGTCTAAACCGAGAAAATCAAAGCTAAAGTTTATGTAAATTAACATGATATTTTATCACATATAAAACCACGACACGCTTATGATTTTTCTTTGTGTTTTGCTCCTGAATTATTAATGAGTTTTTTAAATATATATATATATTATTATTATTATTATTATTATTATAATTCATTTATATAGCGCCATTTCCCATAGCTCAATAGCGCTTAACATCAAGTGTTAAAAATATATACTAAGTGTTAGAACATAGTGCATGCATTAACTACTAAAATTACTATACTAGATAAAATTACTAAAAAATAATTATATGCTCTTCTCGTTAAGAATATAAAATTACTTTATGTTATCTATGTTGATAATATTAAAACAACAACTATATAGAATACTATAAAATTGCTAATAATCTTGTTAAAATAATAACTTAGTCATAATACTGTTTAAAAAGATGTGTCTTTAATCTGGTTTTAAAAATAGGCAAGGTCTCACTCTTTCTAATATACTCTGGCAGTTCGTTCCACAGTTTCGGTGCAGCATATGAGAACGATCGTTCACCATAGTTCACTAGTTTTACTGAAGGTATGGTAAGCAATCCTTTGGATGAGGAGCGTAAATTTGCTGATGGTGTGTAAGGTTTTAGCATATTATTAATGTAATGTGGAGCTGAGCCATTCAGAGATTTATACGTGATAAGAACAATTTTATAGATGATGCGTTGACTGATGGGGAGCCAATGTAATTGTTTCATTAATGGAGTAACATGGTCGTATTTTCTGCTTCCTGTCACCAGACGAGCAGCACAGTTTTGCACATTCTGTAATCGATCTATAAGAAATTTAGGTAGTCCGTATAGCAAAGAGTTGCAATTATCTAGTTTCGATGTAATAAAGGCATGAACTAGGGTTTGGATATCTGATTTTGATAAGTACTCTTTTATTCTTGCTATTTTTCTCAAATGGAAAAAACAGTTCTTGCAAATGTTGGTAATATGTTTATCCATGGACATGTGTTGATCGAAGGTTACACCGATGTTTCGTGCTGAAGTACTTGGTTGAACTATTGACTTAGATATTTCTATATGGTGTACAGCAGGGCATAAACGATTTCGTGCATTGATTACTAGTAACTCAGTCTTGTCCCCATTCAATTTTAATTTATTTTTGACCATCCACAAATCAATCTCCTTTACACACATTTCGATTTGTACCCGTGCTCCCGCTTTTCCTTCAGTGGTTGACTCAAAAGCGAGATATAATTGCGAGTCGTCTGCATAAAAGTGAAAATCAAGATCATGACCTCTGATGATATCACCAAGGGGTGAGGTGTATAGTAAATATAGTATAGGGCCGAGAACTGATCCTTGTGGGACTCCACAGCGCAAGTCTTTAGAGATAGATTTAACACCGTCAATCACTACACTTTGCGTTCTATTCTGAAGATAGGACTGAAACCATTTCAACACTTGCCCATCTATCCCAAATCTTTTGAACATTCGTAGTAAAAGTTCGTGATCAACAGTATCGAATGCTGCTGACATATCTAGTAATAGCAACGCCACACACTTACGATTATCAATGGCTACAAGAATATCGTTTTGTACTTTTAATAGGGTTGTTTCTGCACTATGAAAACGTTTATATGCCGACTGGAAGGGTTCTTCTAATTTGTTATTAGCCAAGTGTTCCAGAAGCTGACCGGCAGCAACCTTCTCAATTACTTTAGACAGGAATTTTAAATTTGAAATAGGTCGGAAATTTGTGTATTCTTCGTAATCTAGCGAATCTTTCTTTAGTTTTGGTTTCAACACGGCTTCTTTTAGTATCTCAGGCATACAACCTGACTGAAGTGACTCATTACTGATCTTAGTAATTATAGGTAAGAGAGTCTTCTGACAACCTTGAAAGATTTTTGCGGGCACTGGATCAAGTTCACAAGATTTTTTACCAACTTTATCAATAACATTTTCAATCTCATGTTCCGTGACTTCTTGAAAGTTAATGAATTTAACGCATTGTGCATATTGTTCCTCTTGATTTCGCTGATTACAGTGGGAAGAATCGATGGCTAGTTCTTTCCATATAATAGCAATCTTATTATTGAAGAAATCTGAAAATTTATTCACAAGTTCAGTCGTTGATGACGCAGTTGGATAGCGCTTTTCTGGCTTTCGATGGAGTAATTTATCAACCGTACTAAATAACACTTTCTGATTATGTGCATTACTGGAAATAACCGATGAGTAGTATGTTGTCTTAGCATTCTTTATCATGGCATTCACTGTCTCACATTGTTTGACATATAACTGTCTGTCTGTCATATATATATATATATATATATATATATATATATATATATATTTATCACATACTTGTACCTTTATCAGGTAGGAAGCAGCGGGACATAAAAACGATATCGTCCCGGATATCGTTTTTTGTCCCGGATATCGTTTTTTGTCCCGGATATCATTTTTTGTCCCGCTAAATTTCGCGCCTTGTCAAAACAAAGATGGCCGACTCGAGGTTCGTGTTGGTTGATGTCGACAGTTTTATCGAAGGAAACAAGAACGATAATACAAAACGAAAGACTTAAATTGTATATTATTTATATGAATGGTCTATTTATTTTCTAAAATCATATTTGTTCAGTAAATGATGAATTTTTTTTAATTCTAAAATGATCCTTTTTTTTCAAAACTGTTTATTTTTGGGTGTCAAACCCTGATAAAGGTACAAGTATATAATAAATAGGTTATCGTACTCGGGATTCGATGATATCAGTTTTATCGCTCTCGGGACGATATCACAATTGTCCCTCGCTCGCTGCGCTCGCTCGTGACAATTGTGATATCATCCCTCGAGCGATAAAACTGATATCACCTCATCCCATATATGATAACCTATATATATATATGTATATATATATATATATATATATATATATATATATATATATATATATATATATATATATATATATATATATATATATATATATATATATATATATATATATATATATATATATATATATATATATATAGGTTATCATATAAGGGATGAGGTCATATCAGTTTTATCACTCGAGGGATGATATCACAATATATATATATATATATATATATATATATATATATATATATATATATATATATATATATATATATATATATATATAAATAAATTTCCACTGGATAATTCCCATCTACAAGACCCTTCAACTATTAGTCAATCGAGTGAAATGCCAACAAAATCTTGACATTTTTTCTTCATTGGCCTATCACTGAGGAAAACCGGATAATTCTGCGAGAATTTTGGAAGGCATACACATATAGTCTTTGTAACTTGCCGTAAATATTCTCTCCATTCAACATCCTCAGATGATTTATGTCCAAATCCTGAAGCCTTGTACGCCATAAATTCATTATGAAGTGAAGTCGTGTTAGGAATGCCATTGAACAACGCATAAGATAAATCTGTTTTGTATATTGTCCTCTTGCAAGCCTCCAAACAATTACAGTTTTGGTTTACTTCTTCTTCGAAATATTTCGCTGCAAAAGAAATGGAAAGAACGATGCAAATACCCCTAGTTTTTCAGAGTTAAAATATCCCTTGTTAGTTGAACAGAAAATTCAAAACGGCATGTCCATACACACTGCAGAAAGTACAATGGACTAGAAAAGTAGTCGGCCATAATGTTTGTTTTGTTAATTTACGAAAACATTGCTCACTGAACAGATTTTTTAAGTGTTCGTATCTATTTGTTGTAAACCTTATATAATAATTGTTTTAGCTTTGATTCACAATGCTTCTTAACTATAGGTGTGTGTGGGGGGGGGGGGTGTAACACCCCCATTTAATTGCTCATTAGCAATTTTAGGTAGATTTCAGGTAAATTCAAGTAGTTCTCAGGGCATGCGCATAAATAAATGAACTTTATGCTCTGAATCAGAATCGACCAACTAAAGACGTCAAAACGCGTCGTGGCGGAGCAGATATTTTTCGAGTTGAGCCGTTTTCGAGTTAAGCCCTTGCCATGCTCTTTTTCGCCGGGGGCTAAACTCGATGAACATAAAGTATTTAAAAATACTCTCGCACAACTCTACAAAAAAAATGCTTTTTGTAGAGTTGGTGCAAAAATATGGAACTCGGTTCAAAAATATCATCGTAATCTTAAGAAAAAAGATTCGCTAAGCAGATGCACACATTATTCCTTAACATTTTGAATAATGATGACGACTACCTTGAGGTCCCAATGATTATGCATAAAATGTCTGTTTGATTTTATGTCTGATGAATTTTATTTCTGATTTTCTTTTCTCATTAGTTAATTAAAGTGTGTGATGAGTTTGATTGTTTCAATGCATTTTGTTATTAACATATACATGTACATCAATTAATATATTCCACGGATAAAATATATCCTAAGATTTCGACTGCAGTTTTATTATCTTAATTCTAATCTATATATCTATCCCTAACTATACCGTATAATATTAGAATTAATATACCGATATTATACTGTTCTTCTTGTCTGTTCTCTCCGGGACGGTTTCTTGGCGAGTTGAAAATTAAAATTTGATAGTTACCAGCAGTTGAAGCTCTAGTACCATAGGAGTGTACAGGTGCAATTTGGATAAAAAGATCAGTTATATTCTTTGGTGCTAATTTTCTGGCAATTTTCTACTTAATTCTTGTATGGTTAACTATTGGCGATGTTTGCGCGAGGAATATGTCATCTGCTGACACATATTTTTTTTATTAATATATGAACTTGAAAATTTCTTACGTTTCTCAAAACATTTTTTTGCCTGAAATATTGACAATTTTAGCGCGTTTTTCTTGAAATTTGAGTGTTTTCAATGCAAGGAAGGTGTAATAAATATACATGTATAGAACAGGTATGGTATCTCGAATGTATAGACTGGTGTTTGTATCAAGTTGTTATCTTTTTTATATTCTGCAAAGATGATTCGGAAATGTTAAGGCTTTCGAATTTTTCTATTTTTCTAAAAAACTTTCAAACTTTTCCATGAGCCACTTTTTCATTTTTAACATTACAGAGAAAAGTCACAGCTGCAACTCCCCCATCCCAAACGAACATACGACGTTTCTTGTGGACAACATCGATATTTCAGGCTTTCCTTAGAAAGGTAGCTCGCCTTCATATGAACATGCCTAAGATTGGCGTTCAGCAAGTGCCGCTATATATTAATTTATTTTTTTTAAAGCCGTAATTGCATGCCATCCTGAATGAGCTGTTCTTTACAAATCCTTATTGAGTTCTCTCATTTCATGATGTCATTGCCTCTATAAAACTGTAGGCAACGCAACGGCGATCTAGCCTCCTCCGCAGGCATCTCACTGAGGAATCGGGTGGTGAGAAAAAGTTTGGTGAGATGCCTGCCATAAACCGACACAAAAATTTGCATTGCACATACCGGCTCGCGCATGCAAATTTCGACAGACTCAAACTTAGGGGGAGTAGGAAGGGCTTGCGGCAAGGAGTGAAGAATTTTTTGTTTTCAACACGATGGCTTAAAAGACGAGTAAAACTGTAAAATTAACGAATAATCCTGCTTTTTAATTAACATTGTATATACACAGGAAACTATGAATAAGGAGCTGATAACGTTATCGTGAGCCGAAATGGCGATTTAATGGGATTATTTAGAGAAAACGAGTAATTTTCCAGAGCAGTCAAATATTCACGTTGCCGTCGATTCATATCAAGACAGGGTTTCAAGTGAAAGTTTATCGTTGATATATACATATTCAGTTCTACTCAAATTGTCGACTACATTTTATATGATAACAAGACGCTCTGTGGAGCGTTAACTCGCTGGGGCTACACAACTGACGCACATTACTGTTAAGATCCAGAGGAGGAATGAGGGTCTTCCCACAATGCATTGCGTCTCATTATTATTCACAATTACGATTTTCAACGAACGTTTGGCGAAAAGTTGTTGAAATACATTGCGATTTTGGCTCCGTTTATCTCGTTTTTTCGAAGGTATGTTTTTATATTTGTATTATTTAAGACCCTAATTAAACTATTTTTGACTTGTTTGGTACAGGAATTGCTTTTTACTTATGCTAATTACGTATTGTAATTATGCTTGATTCGGATCAGTGGACACGCCAATAAAATCACCTTGATATAATGCAGAAGCAAACTCACTTTTTTGGGGGGAAAATAAAAACAAAACACGTCATCGAATTCGGGAAGATTTTTTCTTTCTACTGTTACTTTAAAACATGAGTTTGCTCCACTAAACCGACAAGTAATCGCGGTTTGAAAATGGGGTACTTTCGCTATATTCTATCGCCGATGGCGGGAATAGACCTCCTGATAATCATCATGGCGCGAAGGAAACTATTGTACTAAATCACTATTTTCCATGATAATTTTGAAACATATGCATATATGTTCCTACATATTTTAAGTTTAATGTAATTTCTAAGGTTAGATATGCTTTATATGTTTACTGTACCTGCACTGACTGTATTTTTTTCATTTTATTATAGAATTCGGCTATTTTGGAGTAAACTGGAAATGACAGTTATGATACTGCTATAAAACGGGTATATACTTCAGTGAAGGTGATACCCCAGGGAAACCTAATAATAAGAGACACAGAATTTCTCGTTCGAAGAATTCAACATCAAGCCGAACTTTGTTTCAGAGTCCTGGAACATCACCAATGCCAAGGTGTAAAAGTACAAAAGTTTTTACAAACATAATTCATAAAATACAGTATAGTACGACTACACAAAAACATAATTGTATATTTTTAATAAGACAATATGTTAAATATTATGCTAAAAGTTATTATCATAGTAACAGTAACATTGTAGTTTAATGCTTTTTTGCCTGGGAGAATTTCTGTCCATAGGCATATGAGGCTGGGCGTTGCAACCCCTCCAGTCAGTGTTTAGTATTTCTGCAAGTCTGTATAGGAGATCACGGTTAATAGAACTAGATGGTTAGGCTAGCTGGACCACGTGACAAATATGTTATTGTTCATTTTTATTTTTGGTCACGTGACGAGGAAAGGGGGTGCTTTGTGATGAGTGATTAGGAAAACATATGAGTGAGAACATAATATGCCAACAAAAGATCATATTTCAAAGCGCTAGAGGGCTTCTGAGATCAAAATGGAAATTGAAACAGAAAGCGAACAAACATACGAACCTATTTTGAACGTTAGAGATGAAAATATCGAAGAAAGCGAGCGTCGTGAACAGTTTATGATCGAGGGGACGAAGGCTTTGTTTATACACCGCGTTTGGATAATTGTATTTTTGCCGTTGTTTTAGTATGTCAGGATACGTTTGAAGTAATATTGAACAGTATGGTTGGCTCTAATTGTGCTTTGTATGGCTGTCCGATCAGCAGAACGCGTGAATTTGCAATTTTTAAAATCCCTGTTGTTGGCACAGCCGATGTAGTCTGCGTAGGAGACTACAGCCGATGGTGAACAAGAAGAGAAATGCTCGCGAGGAATGGCTTCGAATTGTTTTAAAGGACTAGAGAAAAGACGGTAGATCTTCAGAAACAAATAAGATTTTCCTTTGTGAGCGACTGAGCGTCATTTGAAGCCATTGTAAATTTTGCATTTTATGCATGCGCTTGTGTGATCAGATGTAAACAAAGAGGGCATTGTATTTGCATATTTACATATCCCATGTCTATTAAATATCTATCTTCTGTAGACCCCAAACGAAAGATTTTATAACTGGTAGCGTACCACTGAAAATTTACCTACAATAAACACGAAGTTCCCAAGGCTGAGCGTCGCATTCTCAACGTATAAATGCCAGATAAACAACCTGCAAGCTTCGAATTACACACGTTAGTTCAGTGGCTGGCGAGGTGGCTGGTGTGTCCAGTATTGAAATTAAAACTGATGGCAGATTTAGATAATATGCAAATATGGAAAGTAGAAGATATTCAAGATAACCTAGGAGGTCCAAGGCTCAAAAAGCAATTTAAAATGCAAAAAAATCTTTAAGTTTTTCACTATCATATGAAAATGGTCTATGCTTGTTTTGTTCCAAAAGTGGTATATTGCATGTAAATATTTTTTGTGGTCACTCGATTTTCATACCAAGATTGGTGAATTAAAGGCCATGATATTATATTATCTGGTATTCAACAGAAATAAAGTCAAATCAGGGTACATCAAAGTTTTAATGGGTTAATTAGGGGCTGATTACATGGAGCATTTTCAACCCTGGGGTTGTCTCCTGCAGATTTACAGTTGGGGCCTACAGTTGGGACCTACGAGGCCTGGGCTGAACCTTCGCCCTTGTCTGTAATACAAAATGCTATCAAAATCAAATGCATGATTTCAAAATTTTAAATTCAGGGCCAAGTTCAACCCCGCTTCAGCTAGCGGAGTTAAATTTCAACCCCAGGTTGGACTTCGCCTTGGGTTGAAAATTTTATCATGTAATCGTTTCAACCCAGGGCTGAAATTATTCATGAGTTACTCAAGCTTTTGATGAGGCTGGTTTTTGTTTTCACTTCCGGGAATGTATAGCATTTCAACCCTGGGGTTGAGATTGTCCATGTAATCACAAAATATTCAACCCAGTTATGTAAACATGGTTGAGTTCAAACCTGTGGTTAAAAGTGCTCCATGCAATCGTCCCCTTAGTGTGGTGTGATCTGCCTACTGTGGGGCAGGGCTGTACTGAATGGTGGCAGATTACCATAATCAAATCACTTCTATTTCGACCAGCCAATAAGGTTTAATTAAAAACAATATAATTATTGTATTATGGAAACAGTGTTCTGAACTTCTGACAATCTTTGACAATTAAGAAGTTTATCAAGTTTTATATGTTATCGCATCCCCTTTCTCAATCACTCAATGCCTTTTCTTTGACTGCCTTTCATTAATTAATGCTATACTTTAAAGATGCGGTACAGTCCGTATGTAAACAAAGGCTTTGTTTACATTTCGGTATCCAAAATATTGAATTTTATTCCACAACTAGTTATATTTTCATGATTCTAGAAATTATCAAGAAAGAGACAACAATCAAGCTTTGCAAGAACATAAAATGAAATAAAAACCTAAATAAACTGTTTGTAAATAAAAGAGGGCTCCTTTGTGCACATGCACAGATTGGACTGTACATGCCGCATCTTTAATAGTAATAAAGTCTCTGGTGTAGGAAAATGCTCCGACTGTTAAATAAAGTTTAACTATATTTTCCGTACAGTTTCTGTGCAGAGTTCGAGGGTTGAACTTCACGAAAAATCACAGCATTTTCCAACAATGCCGACATTTTGCTGGTGTAGTGTTTTATAAAAATCCGATCAAATATGCTGAGGAATATATTAATTTGCTACTTTATAGTTCTCACAATTTTATAGCTGCTCACACAAACGAGGAATCAAGCCATATAAAAACATTCTTAAAAGTTTATCTTGATTGTTCCTTGGACAGAATGTTGTGTAAAGTGGCCATGCAAAGCATCGAACAAAGCATCAGTAGAGGAAACAGTAGCCAAACTGACCTAAATCGATGTAATATAATCAAACCACGTCCTCTAATAGTCAACGCAGCACGAGTTTTGTCTCTCCCTTTACTTTATAGACTTGCACACTATCTCTCACTGACTAAAAGGAAAAACCCTCTCGGCATCAATTTCTTGTATAGCTTCGGTGAATTCAGCGTCTATTTTGTCTAACTGTATTTCCGTTAGAGCAACAGACACATCAAAGTTGTATAAATCCTCTGCGGTTGCATCGTCTTGCAATAAATGTCTTCGCCATTCGTTCTCTTATGCCTCGCTCAAAAACTGTTCACGACGCTCCCTTTCTTCGATATTTTCATCTCCAACGTTCAAAATAGGTTCGTATGTTTGTTCGCTTTCTGTTTCAATTTCCACGTTGATCTCAGAAGTAAAGCCCTATAGCATTTTGAAATATGATATTTTGTTGGCATATTATGTTCTCGCCCATATGTTTTCCTAATCACTCATCACAAAGCACCCCCTTTCCTCGTCACGTGACAAAAATAAAAGTGGTTCTCGACATAATTTGCCGCCCCCTTTGAAGTTTGCCGGCTAGCCTAACCATCTAGTTCTATTAACCGTGAGGAGATGTATACCTCTTGTTCATCTATCAATAAACTCATGACAATGTCGGGCAATTTCTGTCCACCCGTACGCCAATATCATTTTTCAATGCTGGGAGTGGCATTCCAGAAAACCTATAGTACACACATTTCCTGGAGAAGCATGCCCACAATCCTGGTAAAAATCCATGAGTTTCTTTGTTGTTGTCTAATTGTGCTGGTAGGCAGCCTGGCACTGACATTGCCCCTCTCACTTTTGCTGTTTGTTTTGTAGTTTCCTATCAGACAGATTAAACCGACTCCTGCAAAGAAATTCCCAGTAAAACTTCATAAATGGACATATTTCGAAGAAGATAAAGCATTCATTGAATTTATATCTGTTGCAGACAATCATGCAAATGATTGATTGAAGAGGCTTACCAATTATGTAATATCTCTAGAGCAAAAGCATCACCTTTCATATACTTCATCATATACCATTCATGTGTACTGGTGAAATGAATGTGATGCAACATTTTAAAAACTTCTCTTTACTTTTGTGCATAAAATTTTATTTTTAAAAACATTTTAATTTTCTTTAAGTACAGTAATATTATGTTAATATTTTTTGATTTAAAATATATCAATTTTATCAACATCAATTATGTAGTGTGTGATCTTTTTATTAATTTGTGATGAGCAAGGGAACACTACACTGAAAACCACGAAAACCATACATACTGTGAACCTCCGAATATAAGCCCCCATGTATAAGCCCCCCTCCCCATGTATAAGCCCACCACATGTACTAACGCTCACCTCATTCCAAATATAAGCCCCCCCCCCAAATATAAGCCCCACCCTGAATATAAGCCCCCCTGATTATAAGCCCCCCTCATTGTCTTTATAGCTTACTATGTTAATCAAAGTGTGTTATTAATACACGTTTATTTTCCTGTTTATGACTGACTTGTTTATTACTAACACAAAAGATTGTCCATGTATAAGCCCCCTTGTGTAAGCCCATCAAAAATCGTTTACGAAAGAATACAAGCCCAGGGCTTATGGTCGGAGGTTTGCGGTAGATTGTCGACTGATAAGATGGTGTCCATGGGATACAATACTTTTGGTAGAATCAGGGAAGTGAGGAAAACACATGCAGTACAGGAAAACAAGACTGTACCACTAGAAACTCCCCAGGTCTATCCTTACAGATAAAAGAAGTATCACACCAGACACCAATAAACAATTTTGCATCTTCTGCCAAACATTTTGTTTGAATGTTTTTAACCCATTGAGTGGTAGCACTCTTTCCCTGATGAGTAATGAGTCTAGTGTTAGACAGTAAAATAATCTGGTGTTAGGCAGAGTAAAATAATAGACAACTGGTTGATCATTTGAGCATAGATAACTGGTTGATCAGTATAAATCCTTGCAATGCATCACACAGTAGTGAATACATATATATATATAGTGTTGTGATAGTGCTGAATTTCCTCCATTTCATTCTCTACATTCACTGCCCCTCCTTCAGTTTCACCATCAACACTGCTACCACTGGGCGCTTCTTCCATCATTCGGTGTGTATGAATGTCCGTCAGGGCAAACAGGATTTATTGGTTAAATAAAACAATTACAATCAGTTGGCTGGTGTAATTCTATTGGTGGAAGTACACTGTCCAGCTCATCATCTTGACTATCTGGGTCACATGGTGGGATGTTGGTGATGTTGAAATATCAACCTTCCTGTGGATCATTAGGGTCGAAGAACTACATGATATGAAATAAAAATACTTTAATACTGCTGTATTACAACAATTTTAAGCGAAATATATCAATCACATCATAGATGACTGTATTTTATATAATTTTATATACAGTACGAGAGCATTTTTATATTTCTATTTTATATAAATCATCTTACCTTAAAAACGCAACTAGAGTGAATTTGTACCAGTGCAGGATTACCGCAATCAGGGAACAATTTCATCAATTTTTATCCTGTTAACCACAGCTGGACAAAGGACTATTCTTCAAACTATCTGTATTCCGTAAAACTAATATATAAACATGAACCTCACGACATTTCAAGTTCATCACACGGTAATCCTTCCGGAATCAAGATTAAAGGCTGTTTTGACACACAGTGAACAAACAGAAGCTCGTGTCCACCCAAAAACGAAGCTTTCTTTCCACGAATAGTGCAAGAATTCACCATTTTACAATTTTTTTCTATAAATCTTTTCCGAATCCTCGAGGTGTAAACACAGCGAGAGCCGACCGAACAATGACGGCGCAGAGCGAGAAATCGATAATATGTAAAAACCGCGCCTGACCGCGTTGCATGCCGGTATAGTCCTCACTCCTCCTCTGGTTAAGATCTAAAGACTGATTTCCACTGGCACGTTTTTCGTACGCACGTAAAACTTTGAATCCTTAAAATATTTTACAAATAAGTTAACAAATTCATACTAAAACTTGCGGAGCAGTAAATTCTGTTGCTTTATTTATTTGGTTATTTTACAAATTTAAAGTTTTACGTGCGTATATTAAGCCTGGTGTGGAAATTAAGCCAGGCCCCGAGCATAGTTAATATATATTAACTATGTATAGAAGTATGGCCATTGTTTACGACCTTGCACGCAATGCACTATATGTTCCACGTGACCGAAAATCCAACATATTTCGTCACGTGACCCAGCCTTCCAAACCTGGTCTTCTATATTAACTATGCCCCCAGCTAAGGGGAAACTCCCGGCGTTTATGCCCACAAGTAAAGTTACATTTTATAGTACGCTACATTCTTCTGTCGGCCGCCAGTTTAAAACGTTCAAAATAAAATATTTTGGGGCTTTTGGGCTCAAAACATTATCAAAATGAAGAGAGAAGTGAGACGAATCCACTGGTGTGCGGCCGAAAAAGAGAAAACCAATGATACCAAAGGTATCAAGTCGAATCAAGGATCAAACGTACTGCATCTTTTATAATTTGAGCGTTTATCAACAAATAATACAATTTCGCTTGGCTTTCAAAGACAAAGTCAGAGGCCATAAATCGCTAGAATATTGTTGTCAGTTGTTTAGTAATACATTTGACATCCGTAGGTACAATTTCTCATCCGTGAGTACAATTTCTGATGCTGAATCGAACGGTGGTATTTTTATTCTTATTGCGCCATTAATTAGGCAATACAAATACAAGCACGGTCAAGGACAAACGTACTGCGAGTGATTTGATGTCAACAAGACAATTTCGCTTGATTTTCAGAGGCCATAAATCGCTAGAATACTACTGTTTAGTAATACATTTGACATCCGTAAGTACAATTTCTTACGCTGAATCGAACGGTGGTATTTTTATCCTTATTGCGCCATTTATAAGAGGCATTACAAATACAATATCATGTTTCGCACTGAGTACACTACAGAAAGTTTTCGATAAATTTTATATTGATATGACACCAATATGCTTCTCATAAAGTAGTTATAATTTAAAGGGACACTCCACCCCCAGAACAAGTGTCGCTAATAAGAAAGCTTTACATGAGCCTACCTTGGAATGAATATTCGTTCGCCTCAATTCTTTTTCGTTTGCGAGAAATTT